GGCAAGCTACTTGGGAGGCTGAGGTAGGAGAATCGCTTGAACCCGGGAGCCAGAGGTTGCAGTGGGCCGAGATCACGCCACTGCACCCCAGCCTGGGCGACAGAGCAAGAATCCGTCTCAAAAAAAAAAAAACGACAACAACAACAACAAAAATGTGGTGCTCATCAGCTAGGCAGACACCCACAAAGCTGGGAGCTCACCAACGGTGGACATTCAGATAGTCACCTTTTCTGAGCTTCAAACTAAATATGTAAGTAACACAAATGGCCGCCTCTATAGGCAACTGTGGAAGGAGCCAAATCCCTTGCATACTCAAAACACCACAGAAAAGAATTGATAGCAATGATTATGCAGACCCTTTCTGGAGGGAGAAACAATGGTTGCACCTGGGACTTTTTTTTTTTTTTTTTTGTAATAAGTAACTCTCAGCCCTGTAAAACAGTACTCACCCCTTCAGGGAGAGACGAGGATTTTAAAATGTGGAAATGTTGATCCAGGGAACCAGGCAAACACCAGAGATGAGAGAGTTTTACAGGATTCGTCAGAGGGGACAGTGGAGGACAGACCAGAAGGATAACAATGAAGGGGATTATGGGCATCGCTCCACATGCGAGACTCACCAAGAACTGGGTCACGTGTGTGGAGGAGTCACTGAGCGTGAGGCAAGAACCATGTCTTTTTTCTCCACAGGGTAGAATGGAGGTTGCACTGTTCAGGCCGGCCACTCTCCTACTGGCTGACAGGATGCCGACTGGGATGAAACAGGGTGCGGGTGCACCATGGAGTCATTCCAAGACTCCTGTCCTTAGGAATTCTTCATTTCTTCTTCCTATGCCTCAACTTCATGTTATTTTCTTCCCTTCCCATTTACAACTAAAACTGACCAGAGCCCCAAGAATAAATTATTTTCTTGGCTTCCTCCTTACTCCCATCTGGACCCAGTCTCCTGGTTCCTGTCTGTCATTTGTAAACTGAGAACCACAATAAAGAAATCTCTATATTTATTGAAGCACTCACTCTGCAAAGAATGCATCCATTTTTTCATTATTCTATGTATATTTGAGTACCTGAGACAGTGGGAGTGTGCTAGGTACTAGAAGGAAGACAAAACACAACTCTTGCTCTTTAGGTGTTCATAAACTAGGTGGAGATGCAGAAACATCCACAAACATTACAATAGATAATTAAATGTATAATAAAATTCATAATTGTTGCTTTGAAACAGTATCAGCATCCAAGTAATTCCTCCAAAGAATAATTTTTGAAGTAAAAGAGAAAGCTCAGAAGTAGGCAATGGGTGGGGCTAAGGGTATGGTATTGATGTGGAGAAAGTAGTGATGGGATGGAGAAATAGTGGCAGATGCCAATAATTTTGGGGTGCTTTGGGAGAATAGGCTAGGATCTAGACGATTAAAAAAGTCTTCTCTGGACAGGATCTGGTTTGCCTGGAGGGTGCTGATGTGGAGTAGAACATGCTTAAAGAAAAAGCAAAGTCAGAAAAGGGACAGTTGAAGGAATGTCCTACACATAGCCACCATCAGTAGTGTCTGACCAAACTGGGGTTTTATCTTGGACCACTTATTTCTCTACCACTGAGCCTTAACTGTTTCTACTATAAAAGGAGAGATTTGACTATTCAGTGGTTCCCAGACTTTTGTATTTCACAGGTGATAAAATGTAAAAAATAATTAAACCTGAGATTTCTAATTTTTTTTTTTTTTTTTTTCTTTTTTTAGACAAGTTCTCACTGCCATAGCCCGGCTGGAATGCAAGATGGTAGATCATTGGCTCACTGCAACCCTCCAACTCCTGGGCCGACAAATTCTCCTGCTTACAGCCTCCCAAGAGCTTGGGACTACAACGTGTGGGTTACCACACGCCATCGCAATTTTTTGTTTGTTGGTTGTGAACACCGCGGTCACCGCACTGGAGTGCGGTGCAGGATCTCCACTCACGAACCTCTGTGCCTCCTGGGGTTCAAGCAATGGTATCGTGCGCGCTCAACACTCCCCAGTAGCTGGGATTACAGGCGACCCACCACCAGTGACCGGGCTAATTTTCTGTAGCTTTTTAGTAGAGACAGGGTTGTCTCGTTGGCCAGGCTGGTCTTGAACTGCGTTGACCTCAGGTGATGTTTTGTTCCTCAGGCCTCCCAAAGTGACTGGAATTACAAGGCATGAGCCACCATGCCCAGCTATTTTTTTTATTTTTAGAGGAAGAGACAGGGTTTTCCACCGAGTGTGGGCAAGCTGGTCTTGACACTCCTGACCTCAAGTGATCCAACCTGGCCTTGGCCTCCCAGAAGTGGCTGGGATTATGGGAATGTGGGCCACAGGGCCCGGCTGAGATTTCTATTGTTTTGCTGTTTTTTTTTTTTTTGAGGATGGAGTCGCGCGCGTCACCAGGCGAGGCGGGCCAATCGCCAGCGCGCCTGCAGCTCGCCTCCCGGCTTTACGCCGATTTCTCTCTTGCCTCGCGCTCGCGAGTAGCCTGGGACTACAGGGCCCACTTGGCCCGGCTAGTTGGTTTGGTATTTTTTTAGTAGAGACGGGGGTTTCACCATGTGAGCCAGGATGGTCTCGATCTCCTGACCTCGTGATCCGCCCGTCTCGGCCTCCCAAAGTGCTGGGATTACAGGCTTGAGTCACCGCGCCTGGCCGAGATTTCTAATTTTTAATTTTAATGTCCAAATAAGAGCATTAAAGCAACTATCCTCTATTAGCATCTTGTCATAAAACAATTTTTAGTATCAACATTATAGGGAGGTCATACTTGTAGAAGAATGGAGTGGAATCTATCTTATTTTATGAAATTGTAAAAAACCTGATTATATTTTCCAGATTGTCCTCATTTTGTAGAGTAGAGGTGAAAACTTTATCACAGCATGGGTCTGAGGATCATTCTTCAGAAACCACAAGAGACTTGTCCTGCAGGGTCTCTTCTGGCTCTGACATTCTAGGATTAAAATAAACAGTAGTAGGAACTGCTTGCTTTCCTTCTTGTGTTACTGAAACAGACTTTATAAAAATTAGGACAAATCTGACCTAACTGATTCCATTTTGCTTCTAACTCCAAGCTGCCCTTGCTCATTCCTGGGCACAGGCCACACTAACTATGGGATGAATTTTTACTGTTTAACTTTGAAACAAAGATAATAGTCCTCTCCTGAAACAAACCACGTCCCTGCTTGGGAATCAGATCTCCTTTGTAAAACAAACAAATTAGCCACAAGATTAGAAATTATGGCTCAGAAATTATGTAGCTAGAGGCCACAAGATTCCTAACCTCCCCAGTTGCTCCTATTCAAAACATTGTTGTAGTCTCAGCAATGCACCAAGATACAACAGTCTCTAGTTGTCTGAGATAACTCCCGGAGTTCTTTGTCCTACCTCTAAGATGATTAAGGAGCAGGGACACAAAGGTGGGGTTACAGCGAAAGTTTCATAAGCGAAAGAAGAAAGCTCTCTGCCAGCAGAGAGTGGGGGCCAGAATGGGTGCCCCCTCTGAGGCTGGGGTATTTATGGATTGGAAAGGGGAAGCAATGTGCTTAGTCCACCGGCTGTCTTGGAGAACTCAGCTTGGCCAGGAGCCTTGGCCCAGGACCAGTCAGGAGCTGAAATGATGATTCTTAGATGCTTCTTAGCTTGGCCCGAGACCTATCAGGGGCTGAAGTGATGATTCATAGAGGCTGGACTGACAGTCCAAAAAGGAAAGCAGAGTGCCCACTGGAACCCACCGGGGCCCACTATGCCCATGCCCACAAAAGGAGAAGCAACTTCATCCGGGTAGCCCGCTGACTATACAAAGGACAAAGGCATTTCTATGCCAGGCCTCGTTCCTTTATCTGAGTGAGCCAAAGGTTTGTGCAAGCTTTTATCCAAATGGGCCAGAGGTTTTTCCATCTGTGCAGCCGTGGGCATGTCTCCAGGCACAATGACCTATGCTAGTTCCCTTATCAGTGCTGGTAGCTTGAATTTTTTCCCAGGCTGCTTTTTATGTTATGTGGGGATAAGGCACTGACCCTATGGGCCGGGATCTCTCCAGGGACCTTCCCTTGCTTTGTGTCCACTCTCCGTAAGGCAAGCTAACTAACTCCTTTCAACATTACTATTATAAAATCTAAAATTGGCGTTCTAGGTATTTTTCAGACCCTTTATTCTGACGGACCAGCTGGCACCACTCAGATGGGCAAACCTGCTCATCTGTTCTTGTGGCCCCCCAACCAGGAATTCACTCAGCACAAGAACACAAGCTCTGACTCTCTCTGATTTCATCCTTGACCCAACCAGTCAGCATTTCCCATTCCCTGGCCCCCTGACTGCCAAATTATCCTTTAAAAAACACCAGCTTCGGCCAGGCACGGTGGCTCACGCCTGTAATCCCAGCACTTTGGGAGGCCGAGGCTGGTGGATCACGAGGTCATGAGATCGAGACCATCCTGGCTAACACGGTGAAACCCCGTCTCTACTAAAAAATACAAAAAACACTAGCCGGGCGAGGTGGCGGGCGCCTGTAGTCCCAGCTACTCGGGAGGCTGAGGCAGGACAATGGCGTAAACCCGGGAGGCAGAGCTTGCAGTGAGCTGAGATCCGGCCACAGCACTCCAGCCTGGGCGACAGAGCGAGACTCCGTCTCAAAAAAACAAAAACAAAAACAAAATAACCTCTTAAGTCAAAAGATTGCATCTTTCATGGTTATTTCCCACAAGCTCAGCAGGTAGTGCTAATACTTAGTACCCTAATCTCCTTCAGGAGTGATGATGAAGCTGGCTGCTATAAACATGTCCCTACCCTTCCATCCTGTCAGCCCATTTTGGAACGCTAAACATGCTTTGAACGGAAGCTCTGAACTCAGGGATCTTGGGGCTGTGGCTGGAGGAGGGGAACAGACTCAGAGGCCGGCCCTAGGCAGGAGGGGCGAGGGAGCGATCCGAGCGCCGGCCCCGCCCCTCGCATGCGCCTCTTTTTAAAAAAGCGCGGGCGTGCCTTGCGCAGGCGCATTGCTGGGGCGAAGGTGAGCCGCGCAGGTGCGGTGAAGGGAGGATGGCGGAGTTGGTTCCTTTTGCGGTTCCCATCGAGAGTGACAAAACCTTGCTAGTGTGGGAACTGAGCTCCGGACCTACGGCCGAGGCTTTGCATGTGAGCCGGGGCCAGAAAGGAGGGAGAGATGGAGAAAGCCGCCCACCCGCTGACTGGGAGTTCCGGAGCCCTGCCTCAGACCCTTACCTGCCTCAGCCTCTGCTGAAGGACTCTTAATTCTAAAAGGGATCCCAACTGACAACAAACGACCCCCAAAAGATTTTTAAGAGTCCCAGAGAGGTATCTCTCCACCGACAGCACGTTTTACCTTCCAGTGCTTCTTAAAGTTTAGGAATTTAAGAGGAAAACCTGTTGATTACGTGGGAAGTGTTTTGAATAGCATCCTAGATCGCGAAGAGGGGTTTGGGGAATATGAGGGCATGTGCGGTTTTGTTTGCTGGGCGTGAGATTTCATGTACTTACTTGGGGTGGGACCACCCCCACAGCATTCTCTGTTCACAGCATTTTCCCAGTTTGGCCTTCTGTATTCAGTCCGGGTCTTCCCAAATGCTGCAGTGGCCCATCCTGGTTTCTATGCCGTCATTAAGTTTTATTCAGCAAGGGCTGCCCGCAGAGCCCAAAAGGCGTGCGACCGGAAGCAGCTTTTTCAGAAATCTCCAGTCAAGGTGGGTCCAAATATGGAATTCCTAGCTCCGCTGTGATGAAGTGCTGAATTCAATAATAGGTTAGCATTTGTCTAGCACTCTGGTTTACGGAATATTTTCAGATGCATTGCCACACTAATCTTCCAGTTCTCTGGGTTTTTTAGATGAAGAAACTCAAACTCAAGATGGTTGAGTGACTTGTTTAAGGTTCCTGAAAAGAATTATGGAAACTTGAGGTTGAACTAAAACCTGCTGAGCTAAACCTCATGTCATTTTATGCTGTCCCTTTTTAAGAAATCTCAGCTTGGGCAGCAAAGTGAGACCCTGTCTCTATAAAAAAGAAAAATTAAAGATAAGGCTGGGCACCGTGGCTCATGCCTATAATCCCAGCACTTTGGAAGATGGAGGCAGGCGGATCACTTGAGGCCAGCAGTTTGAGATCAGCCTGGGCAACATAGCAAAACTCCATCTATACTAAAAATACAAAAACTAGCCAGGCATGGTGGCATGCGCCTGTAGTTCCAGCTACTCGGGAGGCTGAAGCATGAGAATCGCTTGAACCCAGGAGGCTGAAGCATGAGAATCACTTGAACCCAGGAGGTGGAGGCTGCAGTGAGCCAAGATTGTGCCACTGCACTCTAGCACGGGTGACAGAGTGAGACTCCATCTCAAAAAAAGAAAAGAAAGAAAAATAAAAAATTAAATATCAGCCAGGTATGGTGGCATGCACCTGTAGTCCCAGCTACTTGGGAGACTGAGGTGGGAGGATCACTTGAGCCTAGAGGTTTGAGGGTGCAGTGAGTAATAATAATTGCATCACTGCACTCCTGCCTGGGCCGCACAGTGAAACCCTATCTCTAAACAATGAGTGAATGAATGAAATCTTCGCCAGAAGACTTCTGCTTATATTTACTTTTTAATTTTTTTAGAGACAGAGTATCCCTGTGTTGCCCAGGCTGGTCTCTACATCCTGGCCTCAAGCAGTCCTCCTGCCTCAGCCTCTTAAGTAGCTAGGTACAAGCCACCATGCCCAGCTACATTTATTTTTTATTTTTGTTTTTTGAGATGAAGTCTTATTTTGTCACCTAGGCTGGAGAGCAGTGGCATGATCTTGGCTCACTGCAACCTCTGCCTTGCGGGTTCAAGCGATTCTCCTGCCTCAGCCTCCCAAGTAGCAGGGATTACAGGCATGCACCACCATGCCTGGCTGATTTTGTGTTTTTGGTAGAGACGGGGTTTCTCCATGTTGGTCAGGCTGGTCTCAAACTCCTGAACTTAGGTGCTTCACCCACCTTGGCCTCCCAAAGTGCTGGGATTACAAACATGAGCCACCACGCCCAGCCTATATATTTACTTTTATGTGAATTTAAAATGTGTGGGTGTGACCAAGTCTTCTGCCAGCTGTTACATGAAGGAAACTGTATCATCATCATCATCATCATCATCATGCTCACCATGGCTCACAAACTGCCTATTTGGAACTCCCTTCAGTTCTGAGAGGATGGGAACATTCTTTAAGCAGCATTGTAGAAACCCTATTCCATATTAACATGCCAACCAATTTTACCTTCCCAGAGCCACAGAATGATATATCATTGTATGCCTCAATTCAGTCACCTTTCCCTTTTCAAGGCCCATTTCAATTCCTAATTGGCTACTTGATCTGACTGTTTCCTACTAATCTTGCTGCCTATTACTGTCTATATTCCATTCCTCATTGAATTAACCTTGATCAAATCTGAGAACTCTGCTCAGTAATGACTCCAGATATACTACTCCCACTTCGGTAGCCTGTTCAATGCCCTCTTAGCCTGTTCAACACCCTCTTCAATCCTGGTTCCACTTCCTGTGACTGAAATGATTACCTGTGAGATATTATTTAACTTTTGAACTATGGTCTGTTTCTAACCTGTGACCATTTCACATAGCCACTCAAATATTATAAAGGTGCAACTAAGATTATGAAACATTTACTTGGTATCATTTTGTGAGTAATGAGTTTTTAGTGCTCTTTGGACATTGAGACCATTTCATAAGCTTTAGGTTTTGAGAATTTCACAGCATAAAGCCCATCACTGAGACAGTAATGAAGGATATGTTCTACAACTCAATAGATTAGGTGAGAGGAGAGGGCGTTCATACTAGATTTATTTGTTTACTAAACCCAAAACCTTGGGTTGCTACTCACCCCCCACTGTAATCTAGTTTAAGTGTTCTTTTCTACTTTAGCACATACATTTAGTTCCTGGTTTTTTTGCCTTTTTAAATACAGAAAAGAGAATAATGTTTTAAAATAAAATCAAGGAAAGGCCTAAGGCACCTGAGAGGGTTTTGTTTTTGCTTTTTGGGTTTTTGTTTTTGCTTTTGTTTGGAGACGGAGTCTTGCTCTGTCACCCAGGCTGGAGCGCAATGGCATGATCTCAGCTCACTGCAGCCTCTGCCTCCCAGGTTTAAGTGATTCTCCTGCCTCAGCCTCCAGAGTAGCTGGGATTACAGGCATGCACCACCACACCTAGCTAATTTTTGTATTTCTGGTAGAGACAAGATTTCTCCATGTTGGCCAGGCTGGTCTTGAACTCCTGACCTCAAGTGATCTGCTCGCCTCAGCCTCCCAAAGTGCCAGGATTACAGGCGTGAGCCACTGCGCCTGGCCAAGAGGGTTTTTTGTGGGTTTTTGTTTTTGTTTTTGTTTTTGTTTTTTTGTGAAATGAAGGAAAATGGTTGCCGCCAAGAACTGTGGCAAGGTTATCCAAGCTGACAGCTGTCTGTGCCACCCAGGGGCTCAGAGTTTTTCTGAAGCTTCCTGGTTGTCCAGAAAGACTCCACTGTGACTCATGATACAGGCCGGTCTCGCCAGTAGCGCTCAATGTTTAAAAATTGGTCTTCATTTCTCTTTCCCAACGGGCATTTCTCCTTCTTTTCAGTTGGAGAAAGTAATTTCAATTTTTACTTGCTCATTGTTTTATTCATTCAATTGACAGATCATCTGTCCTCTATTATATGCCAAGAACTGTGCTTGGTTCTGGAAGTGAAAAAAGCTATGGTTTCGTCTGGGACTTACGGAGCTTGTAAACCAGTGATAGAGGAAGGTGCATAATCAAATCAATAAAGAATTAACTTCGGCCAGGCGCGGTGGCTCACGCCTGTAATCGCAGCACTTTGGGAGGTGAAGGCAGGCAGATCACGAGGTCAGGAGATCGAGACCATCCTGGCTAACATGGTGAAACCCCGTCTCTACTAAAAAATACAAAAAATTAGCCAGGCGTGGTGGCGAGCACCCATAGTCCCAGCTACTCAGGAGGCTGAGGCAGGAGAATGGCGTGAACCCAGGAGGCGGAGCTCGCAGTGAGCCGAGATCGGGCCACTGCACTCTAGCCTGGGCGACAGAGCAAGACTCCGTCTCAAAAAAAAAAAAAGAATTAACTTTACTGTTAATTCTTATTAATTTCTAATACAAAAAAATTTGACTTTGTATCATTTGAATTTCATGAATATAATATAGTTAAAAATGAAATAGACATATAGGAAAGAACTTGTGATGTAAGAAATCCACAAAAATGGGTAAAATATTTTAAGAATTAACAGTAGATATTTGCATTCTCAAAGAAACTTATAAATGCATATAAACCTCTAGTTGTTTCAGTTGCTTGTAAAATTTGTAGAAGTATGTGTATTTCCTCTTTTTTTTTTTTTTTTTTTGGAGATGGAAGTCTCACTCTGTCGCCTAGGGTAGAGTGCAGTGGCACTATCTCAGCTCACTGCAAGCTCTGCCTCCCAGGTTCAAGCCATTTTCCTGCCTCAAGCCCTCGGAGTAGCTGGGACTACAGGCACAATGTCACCATGCCTGGCTAATATTTGGTATTTTTAGTAGAGACAGGGTTTCACCATGTTAGCCAGGATGGGCTCGATATCCTTACCTTGTGATCCACCCGCCTCAGCCTTCCCAAAGCTGCTGGGATTACAAACGTGAGCCACCACACCCGATTGTATTTCATCTTTTAACAGGGGTTAGTAACTTGGGGAGGGGGATGGGTGGTGGGTTCATCTTATCTATATTCAGGTCATATTCTCAAGCAGGAGCTACTGAATGGGAAGACCGAAACAATTTTTCTTTGCACACTTGGTATTGACAAATCTCAGATGTATCCATAATAAAATCTCTAGCAGGTTGTGATATTTATGAGTCTATCTCTTATGATTTTAGGTTCGTCTTGGCACCAGACATAAGGCAGTTCAACATCAAGCCCTTGCCCTGAACAGTTCCCGATGCCAAGAACTGGCGAATTACTACTTTGGTTTCAATGGGTGGTCCAAAAGGATCATCAAGGTAAACCTTGTAGATTTTTTTTCACTAACCACACTCTCCTTTCAACATTGAAATCCTAGATTTTAGACAGAAGTATTGAACTGGATTGTAGGGAGGAGATGTGAGAGGCCTCTACCATTGAGGATAAGTGGATATTTCTGAATTAGCCTGCTACCTAGAATTAATAATCTCAGTCACTTGGATGGTGGTATCCATAATTTTCTCTACTGTTTTTGTGGCATATAATAAAAAATGGTTGTCTCTATCTAGCAACTCATTTGCAAATCTAACTTGATTTTGAAGCCATAGGATACCTCAACTGTTAGCTTGAATGACTGGAATTTAGTTGGTTTTTTGTTGTTGTTTTTGTTTGTTTGTTTGCTTTTTGGTTTTTTGTTTTGTTTTGTTTTTTTGAGACAGAGTCTCACTCTGTCGTCAGGCTGGAGTGCAGTGGTGCTATCTCGGCTCACTGCAAAATCTACCTCCTGGGTACAAGCGATGCTCCTGCCTCAGCCTCCTGAGTAGCTAGGACTACAGGCGCCCGCCACCATGCCCAGCTAATTTTTGTATTTTTAGTAGAGACAGGGTTTCACCATGTTGGCCAGGATGCTCTCAATCTCTTGACCTCGTGATCTGCCCACCTCGGCTTCCCAAAGTACTGGGATTACAGGCATGAACCACCACGCCCAGCCAAGTTTTTACTTTTAATAACAAAACATTTTGAAGCCTACATTAAGATCCTAGGAAGGACCTTACATTAAATATCCTTACAGCTTCAGGAGCTTTCTGACCTTGAAGAAAGAGAAAATGAAGATAGCATGGTGCCACTTCCGAAGCAAAGCCTGAAGTTCTTCTGTGCTTTAGAGGTGATGTTGCCATCCTATGATTGCAGGAGTCCTGGCGTTGGCTTGGTGGAGGAGCCTGTGGATAAGGTGGAAGAAGGTCTGTTTTCATTGGGAGTGGAGGAGGGTAGGGATTTGGCGTGGAAAGGATCTTTCTTTTTTTCTTACTTTCCGAAAGTCATCTTTTCGGATACATATCAAGCCCTTCCCTCTCTGAGCTACTGAAGTCCTGGGCAGAGTTTTTCTGTCTTACAGTATAGGATTTTACTGTAGGTAATACCTGATTGAACCTTTAAATTTAAAATCGTACAGCTGACTTCCTGCCAAGAAACTTAGGAGGAAGAAGGAAGTAATGTGTTTACAGTTTTTGGTTAAGAACTTGCTTCGAGCTAAAGTAGTTCTTCAAATATGTGTCTCTTGTAGCCCTCGGTTATCCCAGCAAAACCATCTAAAGTTTTTGTTTTTTTTTAAATCTATTTATTATTTTTTTAGAGGCAGGGTCTTGCTCTGTTGCCCAGGCTAGAGTACAGTAGCATGATCATAGCTCACTGTAACCTCCAACTTCTGGGCTCAAGGGATCCTCCTGCCTCAGCCTCCTGAGTAGCCAGGACTACAGGCATGCACCACCACACCTGGCTAATTATTATTATTTTTAGAGATGGGGTCTTTCTGTGTTGTCCCACCTGGTCTCCAACTCCTGGCCTCAAGAGATCCTCTTGCCTCAGGATCCCAGGTTGCTGGGGTTATAGGCATGAGCTACCAGGCCAGGTCATCATCTAAAGATTTACATAAACTTTTGTGTAAACATTCAGTTCTTTTTTTTTACTCATAAAAGGGTTTCAGCCAAAAAAGAGTCTAATATAGATACCTAGAAAGAGTACTCAATTGATACTAATGTTGAGTATTTTTTTAGTATTCATGACCATCAGGCTTAGGGTTTGAAGTCAGAAGCAGGGCTGTAGGCTAATGGAGTGGAGTAGGCTCCCAGGGGTGATGCCCAGGGAGGAGCCAAATTATCTGTACCAAAGTTTTTTCTTTTTTGACATGGAGCCTCACTCAGTCGCCTAGGCTGAAGTGCACTGGCGTGATCTCGGCTCACTGCAACCTCCACCTCCCAGGTTCAAGCATTTCTCCTGCCTCAGCCTCCCAAGTAGCTGGGGTTACAGGTGCCTACCACCACACCTGGCTATTTTCTTGTTGTTGTGTTTTCATTAGAGACAGGGTTTCACCATGTTGCCCAGGCTGCTCTCAAACTCCTGACCTCAAGTGATCTGCCCACCTCGGCCTCCCAAAGTGCTGGGATTACAGGCATGAGCCACCAGACCTAGCCCTTTTTTTTTTGAGACACAGAGTCTCACTCTGTCACCCAGGCTGGAGTGCAGTGGCCTGATCTCAGCTCACTGCAACCTCTGCTTCCTGGTTCAAGCCTCAGACTCCCAGGTAGCTGGGATTACAGGTGTGTGCCACCACACCTGGCTAATTTTTGCATTTTTAATAGAGACAGGGTTTCACCGTGTTCGCCAGGCTGTTCTTGAACTCCTGGCCTCAAGTTTCACCACATTGACCAGGCTGTTCTTGAACTCCTGGCCTCCACCTGCCTCAGCCTCCCCAAGTGCTGGAATTACAGGCATGGGCCACCATGTCCAGCCAACCAAACCTTTTTTGATGAGTGATTCCAGCCCTTGATGTACAGGAGGGTAGGGTCTGTAGGAGTGTTGCCTTAACTGATCAATTTGAAATCTCTGGGTGATGTGAGACATGTGCCAGGTTCTTGGCTGTTATCTCCCTTCTAGTACTTCAGGAACTTCCCTACTAGATGGAGGCGTAAAAATGGGCCCTGCCAGGATGTACCTATAACAGAGCCATTCAACCATACCCTTGTGCCGTCTGTCCTTAATCACAAAGGTTATGAGCTAAGAACCATGGGTGCATTTTTAGTTTTTAAACATATAGCAATTATCATTCAGATAGGCATCTTAAATCCATTTGTTTTGGTTGGATTTAGGACCGTTATCGTTCCTTATGAAAAGGAAGACAGCCCAGAAGCTTGCTATTCAGAAGGCTTTGTCAGACGCATTCCAGAAACTGTTGATTGTTGTTCTAGGTAAGACTCTCTTGATCGTCCTAGAAGTACTTCAGTTTCAATGGGCAAATAAACTCAGTTTGAAAAGTTAATTGGATAAAAATATTGATATCTAAAGCACTCTATAGTATGCTTTCATTTGCTAAATTATTTCACAGCAACAGGCTCAAATTTGTTCTGTGTGACATTTGTGGAAAAAAAAAACGACAGCAAATACTGTTCCTAGTTTACAGATGTGAAAGGACTTGCCTCAGTTCCCACAGAAAATGTTTAAGCCAGGTCTTCTTTAATTGCTTGCCTATCATGTAGAATAGTGATTATAAGCTTTGGACACATGGATTTGAGTCCTAACTCTGTCTCTTAGATTTTTAATGCAATTTTAGGTCTTATAGCCAGAGAGATTTGAAAATACTTAATAGCTCTAAGCTGCAGTCTCTTCATCTACAAACTGGGGTTAGTAGTTCAGTCAGCCTTATGAAGGATATTGTAAGAGTAAATGAGATGACAAATGTAAAAACTCAGAACTACACTTACAAGATAAGCAGACATATTAACTATTATTGTCATTGTTGATTTCTGTCTGAATAAATAAACTCTGTGCTGAGGAGTTTATTAGATTTTGTTTCCTGAATCGAGAATTCAATTTCAGCTTTCATTTCTGGCACTGACACATTGGGCAAGTATGATTCTTATACAACAATCAGCTGCTTTGCTGTGAGCCTTGGAATTGGTCATGCTATTGAATGGCATTGCTTGTATTCCCTATTGAGTTCTACAGTGGCACGAATGTTACAGGCTGTGCCCAAAGGAAGCCTGATGATTGGCAAAGAGTCCCTGAACAGAGTTGCTCTTCTGCTTCACAGCCCTAAAGGCTTAGAGACTGAGAGATCCTAATTAAGTTACCACAGACTTTATTTGCTTGTAGGAGGTGGCCCTGATTGCTCTCAGCTTTCCAACCTGGACAACAGCCCTTCTAGTGAAAGTCTTACTTCCTTGATCATCAGCTGTCAAGTCTGAGTAACAACCTTTAAGAACCAAACGAAGTGTGTGGGTTGTTTACCTCTCCCTAGTATACAAAGGTATCTCTTGCATACACTGAAAACTTCTTAGACCAAAAGCCTTATGGCTCTAGTTTGCCTTGAAGGTAGTTCTATTGTCTATAAGAATATGTGGGCCTGTGTCTGCCAATAAAATGTTCAAATGTTCTCTCTCTCAGAAGCTTTGTTCATTGTATCTGGTGGAATGAATTTTGGTTCTCAGGGTGCAGACACCTGGCCCTTGCTTCTAATGTGAAGTGTCTACTAGCCCAGCGGTCTCTACTCCAAATTTGAACTTGCTTTGACCTCCACCTGATACCTTACCATTTCATCGTATTATGATTGAACATTTTGGTTTCCATATTTTTTATTTCTTACGTTATTCCTTAGTTCCTATCCGTAAGATCATAATGTCCTTTGTACAAAATATGGTTGATATTTCATATATATGTTAAAAACTGAGGTGTGAGGCCAGGCCTGGTGACTCACACCTGTAATCTCAGTATTTTGGGAGGCCAAGGCAGGAGGATCACTTAAAGCCAGGAGTTCGAGACCAGCCTGGGCAACAAAGCAAGACCATGTCTCTAAGAAAAAATTAGGCGGGCACAGTGGTGTGTACGTGTAGTCCCTGCTACTCGGGAGGCTGAGCCAGGGGGATCACTTGATCCCAGGAATTCCAGGCTGCAGTGAGCTATGACAACGCCACTGCATTCCAGCCGGGGTGACAGAGTAAGACCGTGTCTTCCAAAAAAGAAAGGAAAGAAAGAAAAAACTGAAGTGTGAGATGAGAAGATAAGGAAACTTCCAGGAAAATGTTCTTATTTTCTGCTTTTAGAAACCAAAAGAATGTTCATGGGGTGCTACCATTATATGCAGGATGTTTTAGAATGAAAAAGATTCTGAATTGATCCTCGCTAACTTTATTTCAGAAAGTGGTAAAATAGCTGTGGAGTACAGACCCAGTGAAGACATCATAGATGTCAGATGCGAAGAAGAACTACACGGTTTAATTCAAGTATGTGGAGATAAAAACTCAGGGGTTAACATAGCCAGTGTAACCATAATTCAAAACAAGCAGCATAATTTGGAGGACAATTTGTTTCATTCTTAGGAAAATGTGAAACTGATACTACTTTTGAGTGCAGAGTATTTCTGGGGCTTTTCCTGAAGTCTTGACCTTTGACTCTGACCCGTTATTTGAAGTGTAGAGAACAGAACTGAGGACTGTCAGAGTGTTACTACAGTTGTGGACACAGGAGAGGGGTTAGTCTTCCCCCAGGATTTAGGGATGCCAGGCTGCTTGAACATAGGCCTTTTTAGAACTTTCTTCAAACAGGATCCCAGAGAGATGGGGAAAAAGTAACTGGCCTTAAGAATGATCGTGCTACAGCTTTCGAAAACTATAATGCCTTTCAAATATGGCTTATTACCTGGATCTCAATATCTCCTTATATCTTGGGTAGACCATTTTGTTGAAGATCTTTCTGTAAATCAATTACAATCATGTGCTGCAAAATGATGTTTCAGTCAACAGTAAACCACATATATGATGGTGATTCCATAAGAGTATAATGGAGCTATCCCTATAAAGCTATACCATTTTTTATCTTTTAAACAGTATTTTTACTGTATGTTTTCCATTTTACATACATAAATACCTGCCATTGTGTTACAATTGCCTTCGGTATTCAGTATAGTAACATACGGTACAGGTTTATAGCCGAGGAGCCATAGGCCATACCATATAGCCTAGGTGTGCTGTAGGCTATACCACTTAGGTTTGTGGAAGTATATGCTATGATGTTAGCACAAGGGTGAAATCCCCTAATGACATATTTCTCAAGTTTCTCCTCACATGGCAAGCAACACATGACTGTATATGAAAGTTCTTAAATAGGGATTAAGTTTCTAAATTAATCTCTGAAAGAAAACAGTCATTATTTACTACATATGGAATTTTTTTTTTAAAGGAGCAAAAGTGTTTTATTTCAGTGGGAACTTAATTTGGGGCTAGAGTGTTTTATTTAACTTTCACCCCAAAGTTGCAAAGTGTTTTGTTTTGAAGTTTTTCCCTGTAAAATAATTATTTCAATTCAATTTAAATAAAACCCATCAAGGAAACTTCAAGCTTTAAGAAGTCTATCTTCCTGTGAAATGTGAGACAAAGTTAGCACTGATTTCAGAAATCTGATTATAATAATAGATCCACCCCTAAATGAGGCGAGTCTTGGAATCCCTTTCATTGTAAAACCATTAATCTGCACCATGTGCCTATGCTAGGCACTGGCATAAGATGAAGCACCTTCTTCAAGTTCACATGCTGGTGATTGCGCCAGACAATGAGAAATACAATAGGTAATAATGGCTGTGAAGGAAGTCAGCTGGGTTCTAGTTATAGTCACGTTTCAGGAAATTATTTAACATACTGACTTTAACAACCTAAGCCTCTTCTCCATGTGTGCACACAGGGTAGACCTCTGAAGAGTGGCGCTGTAATTTCTAGGGTAATGGCTGTGTTAAGGCAGGGTGACAGTTCAGACTTCTCTCCCAGACTGAATTGCCCACCTCCCAAAACCCTTCCTACAGAAAATTTGGAGTCCTCACTTATTCCCTGGCAGCTCCTACCTAATAGAGTGGTGAATTATCAAACATGCAACAAGGGATATCAAAAGTTTAGCAAAAATGGCAACATTTTGGAATGAATGACCCTACTGTGCATTCTGCCTGCCACCCTAACTGGTGCACATTTTGCAGGTCCATTGCTCTCCCTGGAAGCAGTGTGGCCAAGAGGAGGAAGAGTATCTCTCCGATTTCAGCTTGGAGGAGGAAGAGTTCAGGCTCCCAGAACTTGACTAGCATTTCTGAATATCCTGAGGCAAGGTCACCTAACTTCCTTGGGAAGCTCTGCCGTGCCGCTACCCCACCCCGCCCCACCACTGTAGGCTGCTGGAGTCCTGGGACCACCTGGGTCGGCCGCCCAAATCTTTCCTGGCGAAGGGGAGGGAAAGGGTGTTCTGGTGGAGAGGGAAGGGAGGCTTGGGCGGGATTGTGGGATAAGATCGCCCTGGTGACGAGGAGCAAATCTGGAATGGAACTTAATAAAGATTGCCTAAATAAAGATATGGTAAATAACGGACGAGGCGGGGCCGTGGTTGCTAGGAGCGCGAGGTTGCTAGGTGTGCGAGCATCTCTGGGCTGCCATAATGGTTCTAGCTCAGTGTGGGACGCCAACGTATGTCATATATGGGCTGCGTCTCCGGTCCCTACGGCCCCTCCTCACGTGACAACTATTGTGGCTACTAGTCCAGGAGGCTCAGCCAGGTCCAGGGCCCACTCCAGCTGACCTCCGACCCCCTGAGGCCAGCTGAGCCCTGGTCTTGGCGCTCCTGCCATCTCCCCCTGGAATCTCCCCATGCGCTTATCCACCCCCACCCCCATACAGACCCGGGGGGCTTTGATAACCTGGGGTCCTTTACTTCCACCCAGATGTCAGCCTCGCCTCAGGAACCGAGACTTTGGTTCCATTCCTGGATACGGATCCAGCTGGAGAGCTGCACCTGGGGCCAGAGAAGTTCGCTGCTGTACACCAGCATCTGAATGACAAGCTGACTTGCAAGAAAGGCTCCCAGAGTTGGTTCCAATGCCAGACTGGGATCAGAACCAGACACTAGCTCGGCCTCTTTGCTTCAAAAGTAAGGTTCAAACTGTAGGTCTAGATCAGGCTGCAGATCATCAGGCATATGAAATACTTGTTCCACCTCTAGATAGTCAGAATTCAAAAGCAGTGAAGATTAGTGTTTTGCCCAAAAACCTGAAGAAAGATCTAGCTAAGCATCGGAGGCTTGCTAAGGTTTTTGTTGGAACTCCACACCGATTTACATCAAAACCTCAGCGTCAGAAACAGACTTTACAGGATGACTATTTAGGTTCAAGTATGGATATACTATATCTGGGCAGTCTGCCTCCAGAACTCCAGGTGAACTCAGATGAGCCTCCAGGGCCCCCTGAGCAAGTTGGGCTCTCAATTCCATCTAGAGCCTGAAACTCAAAATCCAGAGGACAGATCCAGTCCTCTTCACTCCAGCAAAAAGCCCCAGTGCAGCTTCCACAGCTCCCTGAGGAGGTAGAACCTTCTTTAACCCAGCAGGAGGCCCCAGCTCTGCCTTCACAGTCCATTAAGGGGCTCCACTCTTCAACACAGCAGGAGGTCCCAGCACAGCAGCTGCCTGCCTTAGAAGAGACTGTAGCTCAGCCATCAATACATCATCAGGTAAATGTTCCATTAAAAGTTGGAGCGAAGCTCAGCACTCACACTTGCCCAATGTCACAGTTAAACCTGTGGATGTGGAGCTTACGATAATTCAAGAGCCAGGTAAGGAACTTACATCAAGCCAGGAACAAGCTGCAGCTCAGCCTCCAGAGTACCCCGAGGAGGTGAACTCTTCCTAAACCCAATTAAATTCACCAGCTCAGATACCAGACCACCCTGAGAAGACGAAAACGTCTGTAACCCAGCAAGGAAATCCAGCTGAACCTCCAGTTCCTCCTGTGGAGGCTTAACCTTCTCCAGGTGAACAGGAGCAGCCAGCCTAGCCTTCTGAGTTTCCAGGGGAGGTTCTCAGACTCAGCAGAAGACCCCAGCTCAGCCTCCCAAGTCTCTGTGGAGAGTGCAGCTCAAACTCCACTGAATCTTGAGATGACAGTTCAACCTCAGGGTAAGGATCAAGCTCATTTTACCTTGCCCAACATTACAGGTAAACCTGCCAATTTCAAGATTACCATAACTTCAGAGCCTAACAAGGAGGCAGAATCCTCTCAAGCCCAGCAGGAGGCCCTAACCCAGCCTCCAGAGGAGGTGGAACCTTCCACAACCCAGAAGGAGACCCCAACTGAGCTCCCATGTCCTCCTGTGGAGGCTGAGCCTTCCCCCAGTGAGCAGGAGCAGCCAGCTCAGCCTTCAGAGTTTTCTGGGGAGGCTGAACCTTCTTAGACCCAGCAGGAGACCCCAGCTGAGCCTCAGAGTCCTCTATGGAGAGTACAGCTCAAACTACACTGAATCATGAGGTGACACTTCAGCCTCCTGTTGAGGATCAATCTCGTTATAATTTACCCAGTGTTATAGTTAAACCTGTAGATGTGGAGATTATCATAACCCCAGAGCCTGTTAAGGAGGCAGAATCTTCTCAAGCCCAGTAGTAGGCCCCAACCCAGCCTCCAGAGCAGATGGAACCCTTTGCAACCCAGGAGGAGACCCCAACTGAACTTCCAGGTCCTCCTGTGGAAGCTAACTCTTCCCCCAGTGAGCATTTGCAGCCAGTTCAGCCTTCTGAGTCTTCTGGGGAGGTTGAATCTTCTCCAGCCCAGCACGAGACCCCAGCTCAGCCTCCAGAACATCACGAAGTAACAATTTCATCTCCAGGTCACTATCGAGCTCAGCATTCAGATTTGCCCAATGTCACTGTTAAGCCTCCAGTTATGCAGCTCATCATAGCAACAGAGCCTACTGCAGAGGTGGGAACTTCTCCAATCCACCAGGAGGTTACTGCTCAGCTCTCAGGGCCAGTTAATTATGTGGAACCTTCCACTACCAAGCACGGGGGCCCAACTCTGCCTCCATAGTAATCAGAAGATGACTTTACCAGTTCAACAGGAGACTTCAGTTCAATCTCCAGCTATTAAAGATGAGAACCTCTCTCCAGCCCAGCAGGAGGCTGCTGCTGAGTATCCACAGATGCCTGAGGAGGTTGAGTCTTCTCCAACACAGCAATAGGCCCAAGCTCAGCCTTCAGAGATCCCTAATGAAATTGTAGCTAATCTCCAGCGCATCATGAGGTAACAGTTTCTCTAAGTCATGATCAAGTTTGGCCTCCAACATTGCACAATGACACTGTGAAACATGTGCATCACATGGTAACCATGACTCCAGAGTTCACCTAACAGGTTGAAATTTTAACCAAACACGGGGCCCCAGCTCAGTCCTCAATGTCCCCTTAGCAGTTTCAGCATTTGAAAGACCAGCAAGAAATGATTATTCAGCAGCCAAATACCCCTGAAAATGATGAACTTCCTCCAGTCCCTCAAGAGTCCACAACTCAGTCTCCAACTCGGCTCTCCTCAGACTTTGTAAGGTCATTGAATGATGAGATGGTATTTTTGCCTCTAGATCTGTCTTTAATATTCAGAAACAATTCAACTTTCCCTAATACCACAGTTAAAAATATGGATATGGACCTCACCATACCTACAGAAGTCACTATGGAGGTTGGACCTTCCCCAGTCCAGCAGGACAATCCTATTCCCACTGAGTAGGCTGACTTTTCTCCAACCCAACATGATACCCCTTCCCCACCCCTGGATTCTCCTGAAAAGATTGAATCTCCATCACAGCATGAGGCCACAGCTCAGACCCCATATTCCCCTAAAGGGGTGGAATTTTCTCCAGTCCAGCAAGAGTCCCCAGCTGAGGCACCAGAGCTCCCTAAGCAGGTTGAACCATCTGCAACCCAGCAGGAAGCCTCAAGTCATCCTCCAAAGTCCACTGCAGAGGTCAGTCCACCATAGCTGAAGATACCAGCTCAGCCATCAGTCACCTGAGAAGGTCAAACCATCTTCAGTCCTACAGCAGGCCTCAACTCAGCTTTTAGAGCCACCTGAAGAGGTACGATCCTCTCCAGTCCAGTAGGCAGTGCCTGCTCAGTCTTCAGAGCCCTATGGTGGTAGAATCTTCTTTGACACAGCAGATGGCCGCATCTTTGCCGCCAAATCTCCCTCAGGAGGTGGAACCATCTCTAACTCAGCAGGAGGGTCCAACTCAGACTCGAGAGCCCCCTGTGGAGACAGAACCTTCTCCAGCTCAGCAGAAGGCCACAGTTCAGGCTCCAGAGCCTCCTAAGGAGGCAAAAACTTCAAGTCAGTAGATGGTCCCAGCTCAGCTTCCAGAGCCCCCTAAGGGAGTTGCAGTTCAACCTCTAATGCATTATGAGACGACAATTATAACAGCAAGCCAGGACCAAGCTCAGTATCCAGCATTATGAAATGACAATTCCAACAGCAGGCCAAGACCAAGCTCAGTATCCAGCATCACCCAGTGTCACATTTCAACCTTTACACATGGAGCTTACCATAATTCCAGAACCCACTATGGAGGCTGAGCATTCTATAATGCTGAGGATGACTACAGCTCCTCCAAAACACCCTGAGGTGACCCTTCCACCTTCAGACCATGTGCAGGTTCAGCACAAACCTGAGGCCACAGTGCAACCTTTGGATCTGAAATTTACCACGAATCGACAACCTACTACAGAGGGTATATTTTCTCCAACCATGGAGAATTCAACCTAGCTTGCAGAGCAACCTATGGAGGTTGTAACTCAACCTCCAGCTCATTATGAGGTGACAGTTCCAGTACAAGGTCAGGATCAAGCTTGGCATTCAACACTGGCCAGTGTCACACTTCAACCTTTGGACCTGGGGCTTATCGTCACTCTAGGATCCACTATAGAGGTTGAACTTTTCCAGCCATGCAGGAGACCCCAACTCAGCATCCTCAGGAAGTTATACCTTAACCTCCAGTATTTCAAGAGGTAACAATTTCAACACCAGGTCAGGATCAAGCTCAGCATTGAATATCACCTAGCATTACAGTTAAAACTCTGTACCTGGGACTTACCATAACTCCAGAACCCACTACAGAGGTTGAACATTCTACAGCCCTGAAGAAGACTATAGTTCCTCCAAAGCACCCTGAGGTGACACTTCCACATCCACACCAGGTTCAGACTTGGCATTCAAACCTGACTCAAGTCACATTTCAACCTTTGGATCCGAAACTTACCTTAACTCCAGAATCCTCTATGAAGGTTGAACCTTCAACCATGCATAAAACCCCAAATCAGCCTCCAGAGCTAATTAAGGAGGTTGTAGTTTTCCCTCCTGGGTATTATAATGAGATGTCTGTTCCAACACAAGGCCAGGATCAAGCTAAGCATCCAACATCAGTCAGTGTCACAGTTCAACCTTTGGAACTGAGGCTTACCATTACTCCAGAATTCACTACAAAGGTTGAACCTTCTAGAGCCATGATGACTACAGCTTCTCTGCCAAAGCTCCCTAAGGTGACACTTCCACCATGAGACAAGGGTCAATACTCAGCACTCAAACCAGACCCAAGTCACAGTTCAACTTTTGGACTTGGAACTTATCATAAGTATAGAACCTACTACAGGGGTGAACATTTTCCAATCACAGAGGAGACCACAACTCAGCCTCCAGACCTGGGGCTTGCCATAACTCTAGCCCTATATAGACATTGAGCATTCTACAGCCCTGGACAAGACTACAGCTCCACGTCCAGACCAGGTTCAGACTCAGCATCAAAACCTGACTAAAGTCAGAGGTCCACCTTTGAACTAGAACCTACTCAGGATTCATTGATTCAGTCTGAAAGTTAAGCCCAAAATAAGGCTTTAACTGCACAAGAGGAACAGAAGGCCTCCACAAGCACTAACATATGTGAGTTCTGTACCTGCAGAGATGAGACACTGTCGTGTATTGATCTCAGCCCAAAGCAGAGGCTCCACCAAGTGCCTAGCCAGAACCCAGCACCTACAATGGCACCTTCACCATCTTGTAAGAATCACCTTTCCTCAATTGTTCTCTGTGTGCTGCCTAATATGGCAGTTTTTCCTGGAGGCCTTCCTGGGCCTTCTTTAATCTCACCAAACCACATGGACAACTGACTTTCTGCTTTCGCTTTTGCCTGTCATCTCTTCCTTCTCCTCATTCTCCTTTACTGTTAGGCCCCTTCTCTGGTCTTTTACTTGTGATTGCTCTTAATCCTTTTCTTATCCATTTTTCTTTATCCCCATCACATCGTTGCTTAACTGCTGCTCTCCTCCTATTTGCACTTCACCCTCTTTACAGCACTCTGTCTCTCTCTCCGTCTCAGTGATAGTGTTCTAGGTGGTTAAGAGTGGATTCTGGAGCCAGGTTACTAGGTTCAAACCCAGGTCTGTCATTTATTAGCTTGGTTACCCTGAACAAGTTATTCTTCTCTGTGACTCAGTTTCCTCATCTTTAAACTGGGGATTATGCTAGTTACCATTTCATAGGATTGTTGTGAAATTTAGGTGAGTGAATACCTGTAATACTTGCATCAGTCCTTAGTATATGTAGGAGCGGTGACTGTTAACATTACTTAGCTCTTTAGTTATGTCCAGAACTCATCTTTGTCCCTGACTTTCTATATGTAGCACCCGTTTTGTGTCCAACCGAGGGACAAGTATGACACTGTCTCCAGAACATGAAAACTATAGAAGACAATAAGCATAAAAATGGAGGTGTAAATAATAAAGTACTAAAACATAATGTAGACCATCAGTGCTAGAATTCACCAGAATCTGTGATCCTTGAGTTATGGAGGTCAGGGGAAGCTGCATCAATAAACTAAAAATTTACCTGGGGCTTAAAGATTAGCTATAATTTGTTAAATAAGAAAAAATAGGAGTACAGTCTAGGCAAAGGCATGGTTACAGGTGTGGTCGAAGTTGAGTAGAATGGCCCAAGCTCAGCCTCCAGAGAACCCCGAGGAGGTGGACTCTTCCTCAACCCAATTAAAAGCCCCAGCTCAGATACCAGAGCGCCCTGAGGAGATTAAATCTTCAGCAACCCAGCAAGGGACTCTGGCTGAGCCTCCAGGTCCTCCTGTGGCAGCCGAACCTTCCTCCAGTAAGCAGGAGCAGCCAGCTCAGCCTTCTGAGTTTCCTGGGGAGGTTGAACCTTTTCAGACCCAGCAGGAGACCCCAGTTCAGCCTCCAGAGTCTTCTATGAAGAATGCAGCTCAAACTCCACTGAATCATGGGTGACAATTTAACCTCAGGGTAAGGGTGGAGCTCATTACACATTGCCAAGCATTACAGTTAAACCTGTGGATGTACAGATTAGCGTAACTTCAGAGCCTACCAAGGATAATGAATCTTCTCCAGTCCAGCAGGAGGCCCCAACCTACCCTCCAGAGGAGGTGAAAACTTACACAACCCAAGAGGAGGCCCCAACTGAGCCTCCATGTTCTCCTGTGGAGACTGATCCTTTTCTCTGTGAACATGAGCAGCCTTCTGAGTCTCCTGGGAGGTTGAATTTTCTCCAACCTAGCAGGAGATTCCAGCTCAGCCTTGAAAACATTATGAGGTAACAGTTTCACCTCCAGGTCACCATCAAGCTCAGTCCTTAATGTCCCCTGAAAAGTTTAACCATTTGAAAGATGAGCAAGAGATTATCATTCAGCAGTTAACTACCCCTGAAAATGATGAACTTTCTCCTCTTGCTCAAAAGCCCACAACTTGGTCTCCAGCTCAGCTCTCCTCAGACATTGTAAGTCCACTGAATGATGAGATGGAATTTTTCACCTGAAGATCTGTCTTCACTATTCAGAAATAATTCAACTTGGCCTAAACTCACAGTTAAAAATGTGAATATAGAGTTTACCATACCTACAGTAGTCACTACAGAGATTGAACCTTCTCCAGTCCAGCAGGACAACCCTCCTATTTCCAATGAGCAGAACTGACTTTTCTCTAGCCCAGCCTAATTCCCCTTTCCTACCTCTGGAATCTCCTGAAGAGAGTGAATCTTCAGCCCAGCAAGAGGCTACAGCTCAGACTCCAAATCCCCCTAAGGAGGTAAATCCTTCTGCAGTCCAGCAAGAGTTTCCAGCTAAGCTCAGCCATCAGAGCCACCTGAGAAGGTTGAACTATCTCCAGTCCTACAGCAGGCCCTAATTCAGCTTTTAGAGCCACTTAAAAAGGTAGAATCCTCTCCAGTCCAGCAGGCAGTCCCTGCTCAGTCTTCAGAGTCCTCTATTGTGGTAGAACCCTCTCCAGTCCAGCAGATAGCCCATCTTTGCCTCCACAGCTCCCTCAGCAAGTGGAACCCTCTCTAACTCAGCAAAACTTTCCAGCTCAGACTCCATACCCGCTGTGAAGGCAGAGCCTTCTCCAAACCAGCAGGAGGCCACAGTTCAGACTTCAGAGCCCCCCCCCCCACAAGAATATAGAACTTTCAAGCCAGCAGATGGTCCCAGGTCAGCTTCCAGAGCCACCTAAGCAGGTTGCAGCTCAACCTCCAATGCGTTATGAGATGACAGTTTCAACAGCAAGGCAGGACAAAGCTCAGTATCCAGTATCACCCAGTATCACATTTCAACCTTTAGACCTGGGGCTTACCATAACTCCAGTATCCACGAAGGAGGCTGAGCATTTGACAACCCTGAGGAAAACTGCATTCCTTCAAAACACCCTGAAGTGACGCTTCCAACTCCAGACCATGTGCAGACTCAGCACACAAACCTAACTGAGGTCACAGTTTAACCTTTGAATCTGAAACTTACCACAACGCCACAACATACTACAGAGGATTTCCTCCAACCATGGAGAACGCAAATCAACTTCCAGAACCACCTACAGAGGTTGGAGCTCAACTTCCATCTCATTAAGCAGTGACAGTTCCAACACAAGGTCAGGATCAAGCTCAGCATTCAACACTGGCCAGTGTCACACTTCAACCTTTTGACCTGGGGTTTATCATCACTCCAGAATCCACTACAAAAATTGAACTTTCTCCAACCATGCAGGAGACCCCAACTCAGCCTCCTAAGGAAGTTGTACCCCAACCTCCAGTATATCAAGAGGTGACAGTTCCAACACCAGGTCAGGATCAAGCTCAGCATCCAATGTCACCCATCGTTACAGTTCAACCTCTGGACCTGGTGGACTTAGCATAACTCCAGAACCCACTACAGAGGTTGAACATTCTATATCCCTGAAGAAGACTGTAGTTCCTCTGAAGCACCCTGAGGTGACACTTCCACATCCACACCAGGTTCAGACTTTACATTCAAACCTGAGTCAAGTCACAGTTCAACCTTTGGGTCTGGAACTTACCTTAACTCTATGGAGGTTGAACCTTCTCCAACCATGCAGAAGACCCCAACTCGGCCTCCAGAGCTACCTAAGGAGTCTGTAGCTCAACCGCCTGTGTATTGTTATCAGATACCCATTCCAACACCAATCCAGGATCAAGCTCTGCCCTTCTACAGCTCTGAGGACTACAGCTCCTCCTCCAAAGCACCCTCAGGTGACACTTCCACCTTCAGACAAGAACCAGGCTCAGCATCAAAACCTGACTCAATCCACAGTTCAACCTTTGGACCTGGAGCTTACCATAACTACAGAACCTACTACAGAGGTTAAAACTTCTCCAACCATGGAGAAGACCTCAACTCAGCTTTCGGACCTGGGGCTCGCCCTAACTCCAGAACCCACTACAAAGACTGAGCATTCTACAGGCCTGGACAAGACTACAGCTCCACGACAAGACCAAGTTCAGACTTAGCATTGAAACCTGACTGAAGTCACACGTTCACCTTCTGAACTAGAACCTACTCAGAATTCACTGGTGCGGTCTGAAAGTTACACTCAAAAATAAGGCTTTAACTCCACAAGAGGAGCAGAAGGCCTCTACAAGTACCAACATATGTGAGCTCTGTACCTGCAGAGATGAGATGTATTGATCTCATCTGTCATGTATTGATCTCAGCCCAAAGCAGAGGTTCCACCAAGTGCCCGTGCCAAAACCCAGCACCTACAATGGCACCTTCACCATCTTGTAAGAATCACCGTTCCTCAATTGTTCTCTGTGTCCTGCCTGACATGGCAGCTGGAGGCCTTCCTGGGCCTTCTTTAGTCTCACCAAACCACATGGACAACTGACTTTCTGCTTTCACTTTTGCCTGTCATCTCTTCCTTCTCCTCATTCTCCTTTACTGTTAGGCCCCTTCTCTGGTCTTTTACTTGTGATTGCTCTAATCCTTTTCTTATCCATTTTTCTTTTTTTTTTTTTTTCTTTTTGAGACGGAGTCTCACTCTGTCGCCGAGGCTGGAGTGCAGTGGTGTGATCTCAGCTTACTGCAAGCTCTGCCTCCAGGGTTCATGCCATTCTCCTGCCTCAGCCTCCCGAGTAGCTGGGACTACAGGTGCCCGCCACCTTGCCCGGCTAGTTTTTTGTATTTTTTTCGTAGAGACGGGGTTTCACCGTGTTAGCCAGGATGGTCTCGATCTCCTGACCTTGTGATCCACCCGTCTCGGCCTCCCAAAGTGCTGGGATTACAGGCTTGAGCCACTGTGCCCGGCCTCCATTTTTCTTTATCCTCATCACATCATTGGTTAACTGCTGCTGTCCTCCTATTTGCACTTCACCCTCTTTACAGCACTCTGTCTCTCTCTCCATGTCAGTGATAGTGCTCTAGGTGGTTAAGAATGGATTCTGGAGCCAGGTTACTGGGTTTGAACCCAGGTCCGTCATTTGTTAGCTTGGTTACCCTGAACAAGTTATTCTCTGTGACTCAATTTCCTCATCTTTAAACTGGGGATTATGCTAGTTACCATGCCATAGGATTGTTGTGAGATTTGAGTGAATACATGTATTACTTACATCGGTGCCTACCATATGTGGGAGTGTTGGCTGCTAACATGATTACTCAGTCCTTTAGTTATGTCCAGAACTCATCTTCGTCCCTGACTTTCTATATGTAGCAGTTGTTTTGTGTCCAGCCCTGGCCCAAGTATGATACTGTCTTCAGAACATGAAAATGATAGGAAGAGGCCGGGCGCGGTGGCTCAAGCCTGTAATCCCAGCACTTTGGGAGGCCGAGACGGGCGGATCACGAGGTCAGGAGATCGAGACCATCCTGCTACACCAGTGAAACCCGTCGCTACAAAAAAATAGAAAAACCTTACCGCGCGAGGTGGCGGCCGCCGTAGTCCCAGCTACTCCGGGAGGCGAGGCCGAAGAATGGCGTGAACCCGGGAGGCGGAGCCTGCAGTGAGCGAAGATCGGCCACTGCACTCCAGCCTGGGCGACAGAGCGAAACTCCGTCTCAAAAAAAAAAAAAAAAAAAAAGAAATGATAGGAAAAGAGAATAGGCATAAAAAGGAATATATATAATGAAAGTAATACACAGATAAGCCAGACCATCAAGTTGCTGAAATTCACGCTCGAATCGTCATCCTTCGAGGTGTGGGATTCAGGGAAAGCTACATTCAATAAGCGAAACTTACTCCTGGGGCTTAAAGTGGT